GGATCTCTTACACTATGATCCACCCTGTCCCGACGCCGAGCTCATCCCTCTGGAGCCAGATCCTCCCTCTATCTCCATGGCTCCCATCTCTACTTCCGTCCCTCCGCCGTCCGTCGAGTCCACCCCRCCGTCGGGCGCTGACGCTGACGCTGAGGAACTCGCACAATATACGACTGACCTGGAGCCCGCAGTCCGTGACCTCATCCAAGAGTACCACGACGTTTTCCCATTGTCGTTTTCGTACGCCGGCATCCCACCGATGCGTGACGTCGAGCACTCCATTCATCTTGTGCCTGACTATCGTGTTCACCACCAGGCACCCTACAGACTCTCGATTCCCGAGACCACCGAACTCAAGCGTCTGCTTGAGGAGCTCCTGAGACTGGGTTTCATTAAACCCAGCAACTCCCCATGGGGTGCACCCGTCCTCTTTGCTCGCAAAGCGGATGGAACTCTCCGTCTCTGCATCGACTATCGCGGTCTCAACCGCTACACGGTTAAGAACAGCTACCCCATGCCTCATTCCGATGAGCTCTTCGACCGCCTAGCAGGCAACCGCTTCTTTACGAAGATTGATCTTCGTAGCGGTTACCATCAGATCCGCGTCGCTGCAGCCGACCAGCCGAAGACAGTGTTTCGATCGCGCTTCGACCACTACGAGTTTACGGTGATGCCATTCGGCCTCACCAATGCACCCGCGATCTTCCAGAGGGCGATGAACGATATCTTCAGGGACATCCTGGAGCAGTACGTTCTCGTCTACCTCGACGATACCCTTGAGGAGCACCTCAGACACCTCCGTGACGTCCTTGACCGCTTGCGCAGACATGGCTTCTACGCCAAGTTGAGCAAGTGCCGCTTTGCCCAGCACAAAGTGGATTTCTTAGGACACTAAGTGTCTGACCAGGGTCTCCACATGGACGACGCGAAGATCACTGCTATTGCGGAGTGGCCCGCCCTCACATCCGCCAAGCAGCTTCGCAGCTTCCTASGCCTGACCAGCTACTATAGTAACTTCATCGGGGGATACGCTAGGTATTCCTACGTCCTTAGCTCCACCCTCCTCCGGAAGAACCCACCCTGGGCTTAGACAACCCCTCCACGAGGACGCCTTCCGCGCCCTCAAGAAGGCGGTGACATGCGCACCGGTTCTTCACCTACCCGATTTTGACCGCCCTTTTATCCTTACCACCGATGCGTCAGACTTCGTTGTAGGAGCAATGCTTTCTCAGGTCTTCCCCTCCTCTCCTGATTCCTCTCATCCTCGTATCCCTCGCTTCCCACCACCTACCCCTACCACTGCTTCCCGACTGACGCCTACTCGTCCAGCTACTGACGAGCCTTCTATTGACTATTCTCCTACCATCGCCGAGGACGGCACTGTCGAGTCTCGCTCCGGCGATTGTCCGATAGCCTTCTACTCCCGTCAGCTCCTGCCCGCGGAAATAAACTACACCGCTGATGAACATGAGGTTCTCGCAGTAGTTTATGCCGCTCGGCACTGGCGTCACTACCTGCACGGGGCTTCATTCATGGTGCATACAGACAACTCTGTTGTCCAGGCTTTTCTGACAAAACCAAAGCTCACTCCTCGATAGGCTCGCTGGTGGCGCGACCTATCCGAGTTTAGTTTCACCACTGAGCACATGAAGGGTGAAACTAATTGGGTCGCAGATGCCTTATCCCGGCGCCCTGACCACGACCACGAGCACATCCAGCTCTCTTCCATCCCGGTCACCACCATCCACCACTCGGTGATCGACGAGTTTCGCACTCAGTACCGCCACTGCCCCGACTATCGCGACATCCACGCGACCCTTCGGAGTGGCAAGACCGTCCCGGACTACTCTCTCGGGGACAACGGTCTTGTGTACTGACACGGTTCACAGGGCACCAGAGAGCCCCGTATTTGCGTTCCCTCCACTTGACAGCTACGTGTCCGAGTAGTAGCAGAGTTCCATGACCAGGCAGTTGCCAGTCATATGGGCTTCCACAAGACATTGGCTCATGTGAGTCGCCTGTAGGTCTCGCCAGAGCGCAAGGACTTTGTGAAGGACTACGTCGCAGAGTGTCCGACCTGTCAGGATGTGAACAGTGCGAACCACTTGCCTTATGGTTTGCTTCAGCCTCTTCCTATCCTTGAGGGTCGTTGGCAGTCCATCTCGATGGACTTTATCGGTCCTCTTCGTCCTCCGCCCCTCGCGGTCATGATGCTATCCTGGTCGTCGTCGACCGCTTCACGAAGCGTGCACGCTTTGTTCCGTGCCGCTATGCCATCAGTGCACATGAGGTCGCCGACATCGTGTTCGACCGAGTCGTGCGTGACCATGGCTTACCTCTGAGCATCATATCTGACCGTGACCCGTGCTTTACCAGCCGATTCTGGCGACGACTCCACGAGGTATACGACACTCAGCTCCGCTTCTCCTCGTCTCACCATCTTTAAACTGATGGTCAGACCGAGATCACGAACAGGACTCTCGGAGAGATTCTTCGAAATATTATTCGTGATGACCAGCAGTGGGATCTTCATCTTGCCCACGCGGAGATAGCCTACAACCACGCCGTCTCGCCAGCCACGGGGATGTCGCCTTACTATTGCGACCTCGGCTTTCACCCTCATGTTCCCACGAACTTCCTTCAACTGTCCCAGATGCACCCTGACACGAGTTGTCCCGCGCTGGATGATTGGGTTGCACACATGACGTCGATTATGAAAACCGCACATTAGCACATAGCCGCTTCCCAGACTCGCATGGCAGCACGTGCGAACCGATCGAGAATGGATCATCCATTCAAAGTCGGTGATGATGTGCTTATCGACGCCCGCCACTTACAGCTCGAAGCAGACACGCTTCGCAAGTTTCAGCGTCGCTTCTTTGGCCCATGCCGCATCCTCCAGGCCGTCGGTTCTGATACGACATCTAGCCCGGTCAGCTTTCGTGTGAAGTTGCCCGACTACCTACGCTAGGCTCGTGTGCATGATGTGTACCACGTCTCGTTACTGCGTCCTTATCGCAGACCGTCTGAGCGTTTCGCTGGACGATCATACGAGCGCCCTCCACCCATCATGGTGGACGGTCATGAGGAGTTCCTCGTTTCAGACATCATTGGTCGTCGAGTCATCGACGACAACCCTCCCCACGTCGAGTACCTCATACGTTGGAAGAGTGACCCTGATGAGGAGGCTACCTGGGAGCCCCTCGAGCACTTCCAGCACGCTCGCATGTTGGTGCGTGCCTATGACCGTGCTCGTCGTGCTGGGTTCACTGCTCCTCCTCAGCCCACTGACCCTCCTCCTTCTCCTCCGGSTGAGGAGACCRCTGAAGTYGAGCCTGCTYCATCTGAGGMAGACCTTCAGCAGCAGCCGGATGCTTCTGAGCGTCCACAGCGCACTCGTCGTCGTCCTGCTCGATACGACGATTGACTCTGACTTACCTTCCCACGTCTTCGACTTCTCAGTACTCCAGCCACATCAGTTTTGCTACTTCAGCTCCTCGATGCTGCGGCTCTTCCTCAACGACATTCCGGACTTCTCATCGTGGACGTCATCAGCAGCTTCATGGACTTCATCACGATCAGCTCTGCCCACTTCACACGTCGCCACTCTCTTACCACTCTACCCTGTACAGTACCCTGCTTGTGTCGCATGATGGTCTCCCTTTAGCCGGGTTCCTCTGAGTTGGGCTCTCCCTTGGTATACGCATAGGCATCGGGATGGTCTCCCTTTAGCCGGGTTCCTCTGAGTTGGGCTCTCCCTTGGTATACGCATAGGCATGGGGACTGTAGCATTGCCCTGGCTTCCCATCTTACGGATCTAGCTCTGACTTCCCTCACTTTAGGAGTCATTTGCATGATTCCCTCACCCATCATTTTTCTACCCTTCGCCGGCCCTCACGCCCTAGTTAGGCAGCCCCGCATGCTTCATCTAGGTGCGCCTAGTATACCAGGCTCCCCTGTTCCTTTGCATGGTCGACCCATCTTAGCGGTCACCCCTTAGTCGAGCATTACCGCCCTGATGGTCTATCTGTTAGGGTCATTGGTTCTGTTCGCTCAAGTTCCCTACCCTCATTGAGCCTGATAACATATGTCTCCCTGTTATCTATGTGTGGATGCCCTTAGGAGTTTTCRACCCCTAGGCTGCATTCGCCACCCTCAGAGACCATCCCACCCTTTGGTTTGCGACACACTTCTCATGTGACATATGATAGACTAGTTGTTTTTTTGTTGCTCGCAGACTGAGGCTACTCCCTCTGACATCTCTAGGATTTAGCTATTCTGCTTTTGCTATTCTTAGGACTTATACACTAGTCAGTTGTTACCAGACTGAGGCTAGTGCCTCCAACATTCTAGGAT